GTGGTAGCATCCTACAAAAGAATGTTAGCTTACTAAGGAATTTTCCTCTTACCGAATCATACAAGAAGTTAACTAAGCTCCTCCTGGTCCTAAGCATTATCTTGTTTCAGAGGGAATGAGTGATTTAAAAAGATGAGGCCGAAGAGTTAGTTGTGAAGAAAGCATTTGTACTCTGTAATTTCTAAGCTAATTTTTTTCGATATTTTTAGCTATTTACTGATCTTGTCTTGACGTATCAGTAAGAGATCACTGGACCTCGTTCGCGTTAGTTGTTAGTCATGTTATGCCGATCCAGTTAGTGACGAGCCATGAAGTAATCATTCGACCTCATTTAATACTGATCCTATCAATGACGAGCTATGTCTACCTTAATTGGAACTTGCTGACTGCATTGGAAAATGGAGAACAATCGAGAAATGATAATCAGTGCCAGGATATAATCAAAGTTGAATTTGGAATCCAAGGAAAACCTTCCTTTTTTATATTATCATATTGTGCGTTAGTTTGGTGTGAAGTATTATGTTGAAAACAAAAATTAACAGTGTTAAACTAAATTGATATCAGTTAAAGATGATATATTTTAACAGGTAAAATTCATATACATGTAATTGACGATTAAGAGCTGTAGGAGTGTGTTCAGGACTCTGAAAGTGGCATACTCTTATAGCAATGGTAAGAAATGGTTAACTTTAGTCAAGGTCTCATGTCTCTACGACCTTCGCTTTTGGCGCTGTGAATCTTGCGCTTCAGCGCAATGCGCAAATTCCTGCAGGAACTTCCCGACATTGTAGAGACCTGAAACCTCGACTAAAGTTAACCATTTCCTACTGTTTATATTAGAGGAGCACACATTTAAAACTCCTTCCATACTCCTTTGTGACTAAATTGACGATTTAAAAAATTTTACCTGTTAAAAATTGGTGAAAAATATGGGCGTGGCCCAAGTCAGTATTATACGAAACCGTAGAGACACAAAAAAATTTTTGGTTGTTCCCGACCCTATAGAGCAACTAATTAGAGGTGATATCTAATTATTTAAACGAAATGTGGTTTTGTGAACCGCCCTTTATTCTACAGCGAATCATGAACATTGAACATGTACATAAGAACTTAGAATTGTATGAAGTATGAGTTTATATGTGTAATTTATTATAAAATTACCTTTCACTATGCAATTTCGACATGCAAATTCATGTAGATATCCAATCCAGTTCCATGCACAACTGTTGTTTACATTTGGTCTAGTTAGACACAATTTGTTTCAGAGTGACTCGATAATCGCAATATCAAATTAAGATATTATTTAAATGGTCCATGTCATGCAATGCAGAAATATCCCCATAAATTGGCAACTGCCAAAGTGACACTAAAGTTATTGCTAATTCCTTTACAAAACTTAGCAAGTGCTATTTACAATATCCTAATGGATCATGGAAATTGAAATGTTCAATTTTCTTTTCATAAATAATAATTATAATGCGAAGTTTTATTTACCCCAAGTTTGGAGAGTAAGTAGGTTAAACTGGGAAATGCCCCTTCCCAGGGACCACATCACCCCTAATAAAACATTAAATATCATGGGAGACCATGCACAGCCTCGAATTATAGTATAATGACTTCGAATAAACCTTTTTTGTCTCTAAAAAAGGCTTAGAAAACTAGATTTATTTACCTCATTTTACCTCATTTTACCTCATCCCAATTTTGCCTTTTTTGGCTGGCCTCGTGAGGTAAAATGAGGTTGACCCCCCCCCATTTCTTACTTTCTAAAAATTCTGGAGATGGCTTATGGATGTAATCACTATGGCACTTAATTTGTTTAATTGGACAGAAGTGATCATAGTAGTGATCAATATGTTCGTTTAAACCATCAACTGCATCATTCAGACTAGTTGAATCTATTATTGGTCTATAATCACAGGTTTCCAAAAATTCTTTAAGAGCAGTAACATTCATTTTGCTGTGATCTCTTATTAGTAACTTCTTGAATTTTGAGGCCTTATGCACATTGAAATCGACAATGAACTTTACGACCTGATGATCTCCTATACAATCATCAAGGACTTTGCAGTCAAGAAACTTGGAGTAAGTGTTTGTTATGACAACATCGATTGTGGTCTTTGTGATTCTGTTTCCTAGTTTAGCAATGCGGGTAATATCCTGAACTACCTGTACCATTCCAAACATTTTCATTGTAATGTCTAATTTCTTATAGTTCATACTGCTGATGTTGTTCTGGTCTACATTTACATCACCCAGCCAAATAACATTCTTACTTCCTATACTCATCATGCAGTCTGTCATATAATCTAAAAATTTGTCAAGAGGACTAAACAACTCAGATCTGTAGAAACAGCAGATGAAAATATTGCAATCTGTAAGATGGATCCAAATAGCCTCGATTTGGTCATATTGCAAAACTAAGTTTAGTTGAATCATTTTAAACTTTATGTGCTCACTGATGAGAATGCCACATCCCCCATGACCATTGTCGTTAGGACGGTCTTTGCGGATAAAAGTAAAATTCTTGGGTAGGTTTAGACTGGCTGAGTCAATATCCGACTTAAGATTTGTTTCATTCAGGCATAAAACATCTAATTTCTCTTTCCAGATTAGATCTTGGATTTCAAGACATTTTGGCATACCTGTTAGTCCTCCCTGCATGTTGCAATGTCCCACTGCAAGCTTTTTGGCATGGTATGAAACTGTGATTTTACTAATGCACGGGTTAATGCAAGAACTGCTGTGAGAGCATGAAAATTTTTCCAATTTATGCTGCTATAAACTTGTCAGAATAAGATAAATTGCAGAACTGGCAAATTTGTATGAGATAATAACAAAACTTTCTAAAACTTCAATAAACATGAGGAACAATGTGTAATTATCCCTTATCTAGAATCTAGATGAAATAAATGTTAACAATCTTTCTGAAAATTCAAACTTGCTTATGGGCCCAATACTTCAGAAATTTAGCAAGTCGAATAACACCGCTTGTATTGAGGTGACAGTTATCAGATATTTTTGCAGATGGTCTGGCAAAATAAAATTCTTTCCTGAATCCACTTCTATTATAGTTAAATAAATTATGGGTGCTAATGTAATTAAAACAAGAATCTTTGCTACACATATCCTTAATAACCTTATTCAGCTCTGCCACAACATCATTGCGGCCTTTTGTACTCCTGGGAAGAATATTGAGAACATTAATTGTTGCATTCGGATACACTGACTTGAGATAATTTAAGAGATTACTAATGTCACCCGCTGCATCCTTCAGTGACTTTGAGCCAAAATAGACTGTGTTCACATTATTAGTTCCTGTCATAATATAAATAATAGATGGGGATGGAACGGAGTGTAGGTCAGTTTTTAGTTTATTTAACATTACTTTGGCATCAGCCCCAGGATAAAACAGTTTACTAGCACTAACAGTGGACGATGATAACTTGTCCGCATCAAGAAACCTGAACATAGAGCTGCTTATGAATAGGACAGACTTTTGTGAAGCTTTGGCTGGCTGTTTGCAAACTGAGAGTGCAGGTGAAGAAGAGTCTGTCAGTTTGTGTCCTGAATGAGGGATGGGTGGGGGCGGTGAACGCAGACCAAACTCAGTTGACTGAGTGATCCTAGGGGGCTTCATCAGTCTTAGGGTGATGCTGATCCGGGGTTCATCACACATTTCGTCTGGCAGTATCTCATGTTGAAAGTCAGCCTGAGACAATTTGGACATGATGAAGACATCTCCATGCTGAAGCTGCACAGAGCCCACAACTTCATTGCTGCCGTTTGATCTAATTTGCAGTGTTCTCGTCGCACCAAGTGAAATGGTTACAATATCAGAGTGTTCTACAATACATGATTCAGAATCGCTATGAGCTGGCATGAACTCTGCTCCAGTTTCATATAGATTGACGAGAATACTATTGTGTCTGAAATTGGGTAATATCACATTAATGTAGGAGCTGAGTTTAGCAAGGTAGGAATCATTGTGTACACTTTTTGGGTCATGTGTTGCACCTGAATACTCATAGGGAAAGTCACCAAAATAAACTGATTTCCTGTTTTTAAAACCGTGACTGAACTCAAGTTCTTCCATTAATAGATCAAGTGAAAATTTAGAGAATGGACCATCATCTAGTAGGGTAACTGGTTTCACTGGTGTAGTGATGGGGAACAAGTTACAGATATATTCATTGGCCCCGGTGTTATAGGATCGTAGACAGGGGCAGGGACCAAGTTTGGATATTTGTCTCTGGGCTTAGGGGTGTTGATCCGTGATTCACCAGTAGCAGTAGATACAGGGAGATCAGACACATCATCCTCGTCTGCCATAACCTCGTTAACAACAATCTCACTGATAACAATCTCGTTTCCAACAACCTCCTGTGGAACAACCTTGTCCACGACATCGTTGTCAACAAACAAACTGTCCGATACAACATCTTCCACAACAATGTCATCTACATCAAACGCTTCTACTTGATTGATAACAACGTGTGACTGAGGGGTAATGGTTATGATCTCACATTCAATCTCCTCTGATAAGTTCGGCAGCAAATTTTCACACTTAAAACTCTGTTCTTGTATTTGAGTTTGATCTGATATGAGACTATCATTGTACTGAGCAATGAGATCACTAGTTCTGATAATTTCATTCAATAAAGACAACTTTTTTTCTAAAAAGTCAATCTTGATGTCTTTTGACAGACAATTGTTACAGTTCTCTGATTTTTCAGACTGGAATGAAAAGTTCAAATGTTCTAAAGGGCGCTCACAAAAGTGGAGACTAATGTCTGAGCTCTGATTATTTGACATAGTTATATTATCAAGAGTTCAATGTTCAGAAGCACAATAAACACTGTAAACGCAATACCTTCAGTCCAGATAGTAGTTTTGATGAGAATAGTTTTGATGAGAAGGAGGAGGATGAGTAATCTTCAAGTACACTCACAGCAGTCCTTTGCACGTCAACACTTACGCTCGTCTATCATATCTCATACCTCAAATTATTTGTTATATAGTAGTGTTGAAAGTATTAAAAGACAAGAAACAAACTTTGCAAAGCAAACTAAACATGCTGACAGCAAATATAACTGAGAAGGAACCACTGATCACCAAGAACAAACCCAGGGTAACATATTGGTAATGTCGAACTAGAAGGACCAGCTGTTTCACTACTATCTAAAGACCCTAAATTTGCGTTGCTAGACAACAGGGGGGGGGGGGTTCAACTACATTTTTGTACATGTACATTTGGCAAAAATCTTATGGCCATGTACATAAATGTACAAAAAATCGGAAATCCCTGGAAACGGATTGAAAAATTTCCAAAACGTGTTTAAAATGCTAACAATGCTAGTACATTATGCAAAAACAAAGCTCGGGCTAGGGTATCAAGTGGCTAGGGTACTTAGTGGCTAGGGTACTAAGGGCTGCAACAACTAAGCAATTGTGGTCAGGATAAACTAAGGACTTCATCCCTCAATTATATATAAAGGCTGTAGTCATGTGCAGTTAATACTAACAAATAAGCAATAGGTGTGTGTGTGTGTGTACTTTATTTGTGGCATGTGTGTGAACCAAAACACAATAAATTCAGTCAAACACTGCACTGTACAAAATAATAGTTCATCTGAATACTGTATAACAAATAACAAATAATTTGAGGTGTACTATGGTAGTCCGATAGACGTAAACCTGACATTAGGCTATCGGTGAACACAGGGACCACATCATACGTGTGCCCTGCTGAACAAATCAAATAAATAAAATCGAGTATCTTATTGGGTTATTAAAATAAGATATCTTTTGCTAGAATTTTAAAGTTTAAGCCATAGAGCAATCTTCTCAGTTTTAAAATTTAAAAATAACATTTTACCCTAACTATGATGTGGTGGCATTTCATACTTAACTAAAATTCAACTTTGAAAGTCAATAGATTATTAGTCACAACAAAATTATAGTTTAAGACATCCATTTTGCATTGTGTTTCCAATATTAGAATTTATGATATGTATTGATTGAATAATTGGTAATAAATTTAACTTTTGTTTTATTAACTTTTGTTTTATTAAACTAACTTGCGTTAAACTTCACTAAAATTTTATAATCCAAGGGTATTTAGGGTATCAACATGAATAATAACAGGATTACTGTTTCATCTGGTTTAAAATGTTAGATCAGCACAAATTTCTAATTAATTAACGTTTTTATATCTCTCAAGCTATATTTATCACAAACAGAAGTGAGTAACTGTTTTATGCTGTTAAATCTGATATAGACACTAGTACACTAAACTTCCTCTGAACTTTTTAAGGTGTGATAGACCTCATGATAAGGGAAGAGGGGGATGTGGTATATTGATTAACCAAAGTGTCAATTACAACTTACTCAACTTAGATATAACATACTCTGATGTATAGAATACTTTGTTAACCAAAAACTTACCCATTATGTTGAAACAAATAAACTACTAACCAACCATCAGTATGGATTTAGGAAAGACCATTCAACCACTTTCCTTATGCTTAATCTATTTGTCAAAATATTTATGTCTAAGGAATCGTCGAAGAAACCTGCAATTGCATTCTTGGACATAAAAAGGCTTTTGACACACTAAGCCATAATATTGTATTGAGAAAAATTTAAGTATTATGGCGTGGATGGCTTTGTCATTAAGTGGTTTTAAAGCTACCTTGGAGGCAGAAAACAGTGCACCAAAATACGTGGTTATGTAAGTAAACTGCTTCCTGTAAACACAGGTGTGCCACAGGGCAGTATATTAAGTCTATTCATAAACGATCTAATTTATTACCTACTATATGTTTTGATTCTATGTCCTTAGAAGGGTATTCTTCTAACAGTTTTTGACTGACTTGAATGTACTGCACAGCATCTTGAAGCTTCTTTAAATTATTTTTATCCTTCTTGAATTTCTATGTAAATTTCCCAAATTTAATTCTAATTCTAATTCTAATTGTAAACAATTCTCAGAAGTTCATATTGTGGTTAATTTTTTCCCACTGTTTTCACTGCCTTGTTCAACAGCCTAGCAAGTCATATATCCCTTTTAACCAATTTTATGACAACATTTCTCGATAACTTTTATCAAAACCCTTGAAGTGTCCTTTATTGTTGACAATAAAATGTTCAAGACTAAAACCATGGAAACATGTGCGAACTTTAAATAAGGCTTAAATGCAAATTTGTATGTAACTGTAAGTTGTAACAGAGCTTTTCATAGATCGAAGTAACGAAATATAATTATAAGTTATAACTGATTAGTAAATACCTCATATTTGTAAAATAATCTGAAGAGTAAGGGCTATCTGCTGATGTATGTTGAGGTTGCCTTTCACCGTGTTGAGTGCCGATCTTTTTTTCATTCTTATTGAAGATCTATTGATTTTGCAGTGAATTAAAATAACTTAAGTTTTCATGCCACGTTAATCTTAATTAAATGTGTTTAACAAGGACATGAATGTATTTAAATCCCAAAACTGAGTTGATCCTGTAAATCAACACCCAACGGTTCTCAACTTATCATAACCAGCTGCACACATACATTTTTGAATTCTGTAATTTCGATATTCAGAAGTAAATTTATGACCCGTCGAAAAATTTTGATTTCATCATAAAATACACATAAAATTTCTTGACACCCTGCTGTACATGGTCTGAAGATAAAGGAAATAAAATTAAAGAATGTGTAACAATCCTTCGACAGATTATAACTTTGTTTTACTGATGAAATATAAATTAAAATCCGTTTTAACTGGATTTAAATAACTGAAGCTGCAAAGACTTTACATCCCAAACTAACGAAAGATGACTACATTCATTTCAGCGGACTCTAAAAAAATTAAATCACGATTTGCAATTTCAGCTACAGCTGATTTAGAGAGTGAAGTTTGTGGCAATAGTTTAAATTCGGACCATCTAAAGTCATTCCAAAGGCCCTGTAGCAATACTTGACAATTTTCATGAAACCGAAATCAAACTATCGTTTTGACTCGCCAAGTCAATTGAAATAATTATTGAAGAAGAAACAACTTAGTTAAAATGAATTTAATCAAATTTGTGTTTGACAAAACAGGTTTTAAATTCGTTGGTACTACACAGCTACCAACACAATTTTGTAACTTCGAAGCCAAAGTTATGCGGAGGGTAGTCTTCAACGGTTGCAGATTGTAAAATCTAGCAAAACACGCGCCCCTCTGAAAATAAAAAACCCATCTTGGACTAAAATTCAACGAATGATACATGCAGTTAATATCAAATCATTATTTCACAAAAGTTATGTTCAATACTAATTATAAGAAAAATGAACTGGGTAGAATTTATGGCATTTAAAAGGTTGTTATAATGACGAAATGCCGTACAAATCGGCGCGTGGCTCTGTGTTTTCAGTTTACTGATTTATACATTATAACTTAAATATGATCGCAGAAAGAATATTTGCTACCTCCCTTTTGATGCAAAACAATTGAACCATATTGCATATATTTATATAATTATAATGTAATGTAAGAATGATACTTGTATCAAATATATATTATATTACTACCATATTTATCAACACACAACACTGAATTGAACGCCGCGCGTATTTGACGGTAACAAATAACATTAACATAAACTATTATTACTAATTAATTCTAATTATAAATTGCTCATCATACAAAATAATCTAACAACACAATATAATATTAAGTTGTAAGTGTTGACACATAATGGATCGCTATTCTATTTATATTTCGCGCGGCGCAAGCGACCGTCCGTTAACACACTCGCTGCTTATAATGCATGCGTCTATTGCATCATTAATGGAAGGCGCGCCAGTGAAATTTTTGCGCGCGAATTTACGATTTAAACGAAAAGAAACTGCAGGGCTTTTGCATGACTTACCTGGGGACCTCAGGCTATCATGTTCATAAACATAGAGATTCGGCGGAATGACAGGCTGAGCGCGGCCCAGTAAGTCAAAATATTGTTACGTACACTTCAAACCGAAAGCTAGTAAATCAGTATAAACACCAAATTTGCTTCAGCTCCATATATATGTGATATGGCTTCCCGATGAAAAACAAACCGAAGCTACTAAGTTTCTTGGAGTACTAATCGACGAGAAATTTTCTTGGGGGCCTCATATAACAACACTTAGACGGAAGTTGAACTATGCCTCTGTACCTATAGAGGACTCCACGCTGATCTTTACCACACAATATTTGAACCCAATCTCACGTACTGTTTATCGGTGTGGGGTGATGCAGCACTGTTTAAGACAGCAAGTATCTGGCTGGCCAAAAAGCATTGCATACGAGTCCTTTTTGGTGATAAAGTAGCATATTTAGTTCATGACATGTGCAAGAGTAAGAGAATATGATAAGGCGCAGGTTATATCTCCACCGAAAGCACATCCAATTTGATATTAGTCTGAGACGAAACGGAATCTCGTTAGCTTTTCGTGTTAAAAGCGATTTCTCAACGGTTATCACCTCTCTAGATGATTCTTAAAACATTTGGACTTTATTGCATTTTTGAAATAAATGCAATAAGGGCGTTTTCGGCCACACCCTTTTTCAGGGTTTCGCGGTCACTCGAATTTTTGTATTTCAGTCCAGGAAGGTCTTGAAGACTATTCCGATACACCAAAATGTGCCTAATAGCCACATTTATATACAACTTTTGAAGCAACATATACCTTAAAATGCTTCGTTTCGAAAATATGGCCGAAAAACGGTTTTTGGCTTGACGCAGTTCAAATTTCCGTGATTTTTGGCATTTCCGCCTAGGAAGGTCGTAGAGACTATTCCGATACACCAAAATGTGCCTAATAGCCACATTTATATACAACTCATGAAGCAACATATACCCTAAAAGGCTTATTTTCGGAAAAGTGGCTTAAAACTTTAAAAACGGATTTTCGCCGAGCAAACAATGACAATATTCACAAATGGGCTATTGGACTGTTAACTAGAACGGTCTTAAAAACTCATGAGCAACATAGCATTGAGTCACTTTGTGT